TGATTCCTCCTTAATATTTCATTTTCACGAGAGAGATTTTCTATGTTGTCCATTAAGGATTTCTGTAGTTCGAGAATTTGTTTTTGAGAACTTCTTAATGTTCTTATCAATTTTTTGAGATCTGCTTCTTGCATTTCTTCTATGTCATCATCTTCATAATCTTGAATTGGGGTTTCTATTTCATTTGGGGGTGTCATAGTGTCTTCCTTGTTCTTGTTACCTCGGTTTTTGCATTTGTTGTTTGGCATATTGGAGATATTCTTTGGTTTCTTCGGTGTGGTGTTTTTTCTCATTATACTGTGACTCTAGATTAAGTGGACTGTCTGCTTTTGATGGATCCTTAGAGGCTGTGATGGGTGTGGCCAGAGAACTCTGTTTGGTTCTTCAGGGTTAAGGGTGTGCCAAAGGTGATTCACCCAGATTGTTCTCTTGCTCTCTCTCTCTCTTTTTGACTCAGTTGGGAAGTAATTCCACACAGCTGAGTGGAATTGAGAGTAGTTGATGTATGAAATCTGGCTCCTGTGGGTATTCGTCTGCTTACCGCTGGGACCACACAGAGTTTATGCAGCCCTCAGTGTGGTCTCAAATTTCTCTGCAGTCTCTCACTAGATTGCCCCAGGTTACTGAGTTTGTGTACTCGGTGAGTTCTCTCGCCCCTCTCAGTTTTTCACAGTCTTGTTAGCTCCACACTTTCATTAGGTGTTAACCTCCTTTTATTGCTCCCCACCAGAGTCAGGTTTTTCTGCTTGGCTAATGAGGGGCACCGCTTTACATATGCAAAATGGCACGTGCCGCCTTACATACGTAAAATGGCGCCTGCCCTTTTGGCTTTGTAAGGTGAGTGGAGAGAGAGGTTAATGTCCGTGCTGGTTCCCCTTATTTATTCGATTTTTTCTCTCCTCCAGTCAGCCTGGTGAACTTTCCCCAGTGGGGTTTTAGGCCTCATTCTCTGCAAGCTCTTTCTGCCTTTCCCTGCCAATGTCTCGGGTTACTGAGGTCTTCGTCTCACCTCCCCTTCCAGCGCTGGAGCACAGACTATGCGGCGCGGCTCCCGAGGCTCCCGCAGCTCGGCTTCCACGTGGTGGGCAACCTTGTTCTCCCCGTAGGTCCTCTGTGTCACATCCACTAGATCCGGAAGAGTTTCCTCTGCAATTTTTTCCTGAGGCTACCATAACTCCACTTTTATTAAACTATCTTTTCCCGGACTATCAGTGTGCGCCCTCACTATTCTGCCATCTTGGCTCTGCCTGCTTCAGAATTTCAATTTTTAATAGCTGGGTAATATTCCGCTGTGTATATATAACACATTTTCTTTATCCATTGATCTGGTGATGGACATTTGGTTGATTCCAAATTTTAGCTACTGTGAATGGTGCTAATATAAATATGGTGCTGAAGGTATCCCTTTGATACATCGTGTTCAAGTCTATTGGGTGAGATTTCTGGATTATATGGCATATGATCCAGAATACCAAACCTTTTACCCTATGTAGCTATATACCTATCTAGCTTAACCCTACCTAGTAAAACCTCTTAACCCTACCAAGTTTAACCCTATGTGACTATAAACTTCCCCACTACTCTATTCCACTCCCACCTGTCCCCCAACAGCCTCTGGTATCCCTACTAGAGTTTTAAATTATATGAGAGCACCTAATTTTCAGACTCCATGTCAGTGAGATCAAGTGATGTTTGTCTTCCTGTGCTTGGCTTATTGCACTTAACACAGTGATCTCCAGTTCCATGAATTTTGTTGCAAATGAAAGGATTTCAAGCTTTTTGTGGATGAGTAAAAGTCAATTAGCTGCATCTACAGATTTCATTGTTCATTTATTGGTGGATGTACACTAAGGTTGCTTCCATTTTTTTGGCTATTGTAAATAGTGCTGCAATAGACATCTGAATGCACATGTTTCTTTAGATGAGTTTGTCATACCAAAGAGTGAGACTGCTGGATCATGTGGTTCTGCTTTTTACTTTTTGTGGTGCTTCCTTGCAATTTTCCACAATGGTTGTACTAATTTACATTCCCACTAAAACTGTACTAATTTACACTTTCTAAATCCTCATCAACTCTTGCTATCTTTTGTCTTTTTAATAATGGCCAACCTAATAACAGTGAAGTATATCTCATTGTGGTTTTGAGTCACAGTTGCCTGATGATTAGTAATTGTTTCTTCATGTACCTGTTTCCATTTGTATTTATTTTTTGATAAATGTCTAGGAGTACTGCCAATTTTTAATTAGACTATTTGTGCTTATTTTCCAAATAAGTTGTTTAAATTACATATATATTTGGATATTAACTCCTTGTTGAGTATACAGTTGGAAATGCTTTGCTTCCATTCTGTAGATACTTTATTTTTATATAATCTAATTTAACCATTTTTTGCTTTTATTTCCTGAGTTTTGGGACTGTGGTCTTAAAAATGCTTGCCAATCCCAAGGAAATATTGTAAGGATTATAATAACTGAATTAATTTATTTTTTTAACTTTTATTTAATGAATATAAATTTCCAAAGTACAGCTTATGGATTACAATGGCTTCCCCCCCCATAACTTCCCTCCCACCCACAACCCTCCCCTTTCCTGCTCCCTGTCCCCTTCCATTGATATCAAGATTCATTTTCAATTCTCTTCATATACAGAAGATCAGTTTAGCATATATTAAGTAAAGGTTTCAACAGTTTGCACCCACATAGAAACACAGAGTGAAAAATACTGTTTGAGTACTAGTTATACCATTAAATCACTATGTACAGCATGTTAAGGACAGAGATCCTACATGAGGAGCAAGTGCACAGTGACTCCTGTTGTTGACTTAACAAATTGACACTCTTGTTTATGGCATCAGGAATCACCCTAGGCTCTTGTCATGAGTTGTCAAGGCTATGGAAGCCTTTTGAGTTCACGACTCTGATCATATTTAGACAAGGTCATAATGAAAGTGGAAGTTCTTTCCTCCCTTCAGAGAAAGGTACCTCCTTCTTTGATGACCTGTTCTTTCCACTGGGATCTCACTCGCGGAGATCTTTCATTTAGGTCATTTTTTTTTTTTTTGCCAGAGTGTCTTGGCTTTCCATGCCTGAAATACTCTCATGGGCTTTTCAGCCAGATCCGCATGCTTTATGGGCTGATTCTGAGGCCAGAGTGCTGTTTAGGACATCCGCCATTCTATGAGTCTGCTGTGTATCCCGCTTCCCATGTTGGATCGTTCTTTCCCTTTTTTATTGTATCGGTTAGTATTTTCAGACACTAGTCTTGTTTATGTGATCCCTTTGACTCTTAGTCCTATTATTATGATCAATTGTGAGCAGAAATTGATCACTTGGACTAGTGAGATGGCATTGGTACATGCCACCTTGATGGGATTGAAATGGAATCCCCTGGTATGTTTCTATCTCTGCCGTTTGGGGCAAGTAAGCTTGAGCATGTCCCAAATTGTACATCTATTCCCACTCTTATTCCAGCTCTTATATTTAACAAAGATCACTTTTCAGTTAAGTTTCAACACTTAAGAATAACTGTGTATTGATTACAAAATTCAACCAAAAGTATTAAGTAGAACATACAAAAAGAATACTAAGAGGGATAACGTATTAAGTTGTTCATCAACAGTCAGGGCAAGGGCTGATCAAGTCACCGTTTCTCATAGTGTTCATTTCACTTCAACAGGTTTCCTTTTTGGTGCTCAGTTAGCTGTCACCATCAGGGAGAACATATGATATTTGTCCCTTTGGGACTGGCTTATTTCACTCAGCATAATGTTTTCGAGATTCCTAACAGGGATCACTTTTCTGTAAAAATTTAAACACCTAAGAATAATTCTGTGTTAATTACAGAGTTCAACCAATAGTACTAGAACAAAAAAAATACTAAAATGGATAAAGTATTACATTGTACATCAACAGTCAGGACAAGAGCTGATCAAGTCACTGTTTCTCATAGTGTCCATTTCACTTCAACAGGTTTCCCCTTTGGTGCTCAGTTAGTTGTCGCTGATCAGGAAGAACATATGATATTTGTCCCTTTGGTACTGGCTTAATTCACTCAGCATAATGTTTTCCAGATTCCTCCATCTTGTTGCAAATGACTGGATTTCATTGTTTTTGACTGCTGTATAGTATTCTATAGAGTACATGTCCCATAATTTCTTTATCCAGTCTACTGTTTTTTTAAACAAAATTCACATTTTATTTAGATTCAAATAAACTATACAAAATCGATTTTTCTTCACCAAAAATAACAGCAATATTTTCTGTATTATTTCTAGATAAACCACAAAACACTTATTTTTGTAGGTTTTCCAGGTTTTGCTTATAAATCAAGACAAGGCAGTAGTCACGGAAGAAGTCAGAAGAAAACAGGTGAGTCAGTTTTCAGTATCCACGGCCTCTGACACTGTCTTGACCATTAAACACGAGTGTTTGACATAAACCTGCAAACAAGATGTAGGCTCAACAAAGGAATGTAAACAGCAACACCCAGATGTGGAATGACAATGGCAGGTCCTTCCACTGCTAACTTACTCCTTTAGGATTCATTTGATCAAGACAAAATTTACACTGAAATCCTTGTGTGGTAAGATCACGAACTTCTCTCGCGTAATTGTCCATTTCAGAGTTAACTAACTCCTATTAGTCAAAACTCTTTGTCAAAGGTCAATTGTGGGCATCATTGTAAATTTCTTAAAATCTATTCCTTTCTCCCACACATCCTGAAAATTTATTTCTTCAAAACATTGCTAATTCAACAGTGATAATAAATGCTATTTGTAAAATGACTTAATTGAAACAATTCCAGGTGCCACTACCAGAGACACAGAGGTGGAACGTGGCACTTCCAATGCTACCTTCTGGAAGAACTAAGAGGTTGTCCGAACATGGGAGTTTAACAGGAGCCATTTAATTAGGGAGATTATCAATGGCTAACCTATTCAATGGGAGGCCTACAGGCAAAGGTATTCATTGATTAAGTGACCTACAAGAGAAAGTCTGTTTTTAAAGTCTCTTAAGTATTTTCAATGGGTTCTGAATTATCTGTAGGAAGCTCTGATTTAGATGTGTAGAGTTTGATGTATGTATCCACCATTAAATCTAGATCATGTTTTATATCAAAATTTATATTAAGCAAAGCCAAGTTACTCGACCTTTGGTCTGTTAAAGTGTTCCTCAAGTACGCTTTGAGACGCTTTCGTCCATTTTCATAGCGCTCGTTCTCCACCTTCATCACAGGAAGGATACACAGCACCTTCAGTAAGGCATACACATTAGGAAAAAATTTGATGTCAGGCAGATGGAGAGCTTCATAAATGGTGGATGGAAGCTCTATATCTTTGCCTCTGTGTTTCCATTTTATCCTCCAACAATGAAGCTCTGCTGAGAGAGTGTTGGGGTTGGGTAGATCACTTCTGTACATGTCAGCATGGAGCTCCTCTGATGTGTTGAATTTCAGCTGTCCCATGACTGACGGTACCAGAAATAAGCATTTAAGAGCTTTGAGGTGCTGCTCGGAGAATATATCTTTAAGTTCCTGAATAATGTGCTCCACTGTTGGAACACTCAGGGTTTCCTTATAGTAACTCTCAGAAGTTAGCTGAGACTCCAGGTTGCCTTGCTGCGCCCTGCGGAATTTCCCAGGGAGCTTCATTTGAATATCAAGCTTGGTTGCCAAGTTTGTGGCTTCCTCAAACCAAAATTCATGATACACTTCAATATTTTCCATGACTTCATTCAGCGAATGCAGGACTGCAGTCAAGCTACTGGCTGCAAAGAAGACATCAGATGTTTGGCCCTGGAGATTTTTCCCAAAGGCTCTTGTAAAAGACAAGACATTTTTAAGAACAACAATGGTGACAATGAAATCAAAATCTGTGACTGCACTACAGAGTACAAACGCTCGGTCAGCTATGCAGTTACTCCACCTAATGTTTGTGTCACTGTTTATACCATCTAAACACAAAACAAGTGCTTGCAGAAGGTCCACGAGAATTTCAAACGCATCATGCCTGACTGTCCACTCAGAGTGGCAAATTTCCTTCAGTTCCTTGCCTCTTTCTTCACTGTTCAACACAGGCAGGTGCTCTTCCCCTGCTATGTCCACCACGTCGTCAGTGATGATGGAGAAGAAGTGAGAGTCCCTCACTTCCCTGAGTGTTTCCTCACGAATGCAGCTCTCACAGATCTCCAGCATCTGCTTCTGCTGCGCCTTCGAGCAGAACAGCGTGTTGACGGCCGTGCTCTCAAAGCGCTTCCTCAGGACCTCTTCACCAGAATTTATCCGGCACTCCAGCAGGGCCTGGAAATTATCGGGAGTAAAGAGACCTTCGGGGATCTCATCAGCCTCGTGTCCATCCAGAGGTATGTTTTGCTTGCCCATGAGAATCAAAATTTCAAACAAAGATTTTAAGTATTCTTTGTTTTCCTTCTCCTCAAGGGTTAACGGTAAAATGTCTTCATCTTGCTCATCACCCCCTTCTTCTGCACTGGGGTTCTGAACACTGCTGTTGTTTGTTTCTTTATGTCTTTGTTCCTGTTCAGAAGTTTCATCAATTTTTTTCTGTTTCAGTGTCCTGATTTCATCTTCACTCAATCCTTTTATTCGTTTTCTGTGTCTGCTGTGAGGATTGTTCAAATGACTGGTAAGATCAAATATTGTTGGTATTGCGTTATCTCGAAGAACTGTTCTATAAGGACTAGTTCTACAGATCATAGAGGTCTCAAAGTGTTTGGCACACAATCGATAATGCTTATTTAGTTGATCAGGTGTTTTATCTTCTAAGTCGGCTCTCCTACAATTCTCCACCCACTTCTGACATCTGGCCGGATCCCGCGGGAACCTGAAGAAGGCCAGATCCGACTGTGTGCTCTTCCGCGTGCAGTTAGGGGCCGCGCAGAAGTTCGGCATTGTCGCCTGCCCGCCGGCCGGCCCAGTCCTCCCCTCCCCGCCTCCTCAGGGCAGCCCGCCCGCCCGTCGGGGCCGGGGAGGGGAGCCAGGCCCCAGTCTACTGTTGATGGGCATTTGGGTTAGTTCCAGGTCTTAGCTACTGTGAATTCAGCTGCAATAAACATTAATGTTCAGACAGCTTTTTGTTTGCCAATTTAATTTCCTTTGGGTAAATTCCAAGGAGTGGTATGGCTGGGTTGTATGGTAGGGTTATATTCAGGTTTCTGAGGAATCTCCAGACTGACTTCCATAGTGGCTTAACCAGTTTGCATTCCCACCAACAGTGGATTAGTGTTTGTTTTTCCCCACATCCTCGACAGCATCTGTTGTTCGTAGATTTCTGAATGTGAGCCATTCTAACCGGGGTGAGGTGAAACCTCATTGTGGTTTTGATTTGCATTTCCCTGATTTCTAGTGATCTTGAACATTTTTTTATGTGTCTGTTGGCCCTTTGGATTTCCTCTTTTGAAAAATGTCTATTGAGGTCCTTGGCCCATCTCTTAAGTGGGTTGTTTGTTTTGATGTTGTGGAGTTTCTTGATTTCTTTGTAGATTCTGGTTATCAACCCTTTATCTGTTGCATAGTTTGCAAATATTTTTTCCCATTCTGTTGGTTGCCTCTTCACTTTCCTAACTGTATCTTTTGAAGTACAGAAACTTCTCAATTTGATGCAATCCCAAATGTTAATTGTGGCTTTGACTGCCTGTGCTTCTGGGGTCTTTTCTAGGAAGTCTTTGCCGGTACCTATATCTTGCAGGGTTTCTCCAATGCTCTCTAAGAATTTGATGGTGTCGGGTCGTAGATTTAAGTCTTTAATCCATGTTGAGTGAATTTTTGTGTAAGGTGAAAGGTAGGGGTCTTGCTTCATGATTCTGCATGTGGAAATCCAATTTTCCCAGCACCATTTATTGAATAGACTGTCCTTACTCCAGGGATTGGTTTTGGATCCTTGATCAAATATAAGTTGGCTGTAGATGTTTGGATTGATTTCTGGTGTTTCTATTCTGTTCCATTGGTCTATCCATCTGTTTCTGTACCAGTACCTTGCTGTTTTGATAACAACTGCCCTGTAGTATGTCCTGAAATCTGGTATTGTGATGCCTCAGGCTTTGTTTTTGTTGTCAAGATTGCTTTAGCTATTTGAGGTCTCCTGTGTCTCCATATGAATTTCAGCATCATTTTTTTCCAGATCTGAGAAGAAGGTCTTCGGTATCTTGATTGGTATCGCATTGAATGTATAAATTGCTTTTGGGAGAATGGGCATTTTGATGATGTTGATTCTTCCAATCCATGAGCATGGAAGATTTTTACATACGTAAAATGTCGCCTGCTCTTTGTCTTGCTCAGCTTTGTAAGGTGAGTGGAGAGAGAGGCTAATGTCCATGCATTAACGTCCCCTTATTTATTAGTTTTTTTCTCTCTTCCAGTCAGCCTGGTGAACTTTCCCCAGTGGGGCTTCAGGCTTCATTCCCTCTAGGCTCTTTCTGCCTTTCTCTGCCAATGTCTCGGGTTACCGAGGTTTTTGTCTCACCTCCCCTTCCAGCGCTGGCGCGCAGACTCTGCAGCTTGGCTTCTGTGGCTTGGCTTCTGTGGCTCGGCTCCCGTGGCTCGGCTTCCACGTGGTCGGTGACCTTGATCGCCCTGTAGGTCCTCCGTGTCACATCCACTAGCTCTGGAAGAGTTTCCTCTCAATTTTTTCCTGATCTTTTTCCTGAGGCTACAGTAACTCCACTTTTATTAAACTATATTTTCCCAGACTATCGGTGCGCGCCCTTACTATTCCGCCATCTTGGCTCCGCCCTCCCGATTTATAACTAACTGAATTAATTTAATCTCTTCTGCTTTATCCATTGTCCTTAAGAATATCATTTTTCCTTTGAATATTTAGGCTATTTCATGGTTACATGCAAATTTTAGAAGTGTTTTTCCTTGTTCTGTGAAAATATCTTTGGAATTTTGGTGGGATTACACTGAATCTGTTCACTACTTTGGGTAGCATGCAAATCTTAGTGTTGATTCTTCAGGATATTTATAAGGGATGTCTTCCTACTGTTTTGTGTTCTCTTAAATTTATTTCATCAGTGATTTATAGATTTGATTGCAGAGGTCTTTCATATCTTTGGTTAAATTCAGTCCCGGCTGTTTTATTTATTTTCTAGCTACACGAAATAGGATTGTTTCTTGATTTCTTTTTCATATGATTCACTATTGATGAATGACAACATTGACTTTTGTGCATTTACTTTGTACACTACACCTTTGCTGACTTTCTTATTTCTTTTTTTAAAAGATTTTTTAAATTTATTATTTGACAGGTAGAGTTACAGTGAGAGAGAGAGAGAGATAGAGAAAGGTCTTCCTTCCGTTGGTTCACTCCCCAGATGGCCGCAACGGCCAGTGCTGTGCCAATCTGAAGCCGGGAGCCAGGTGCTTCTTCCTGGTCTCCCATGCGGGTGCAGGCCTCAAGCACTTGGGCCATCCTCCTCTGCCTTCCTGGGCCACAGCAGAGAGCTGGACTGGAAGAGGAGCAACTGGGACTAGAGATGCCTGCGCCGCAGGCAGATGATTAACCTAGTGTGCCACCGTGCCAGCCCAACTTGATTTCTTCTTTTCATTTTGGATTGTCCTTTGTTTCATTCCCTTGGCTAATTCCTCTTGCTACATCTCTCAGTATATGTTGACTAAAAATGATGAAATTGTGCATTCCTGTCTTGTTCCAGATTTTAGAGAGAAAGCCCGTGGCTCTTCCCCATTCAATATGCTGTTAGCTGTTGCCTTATTATACATGACCTTTATTATGTTATTCCTGGATTGAGCCCAATTCTTGATAAAATGACAGTCCTGGTCTATTTTTACTCATTTTTATTTAAAATTTATTTTACCCAATACAATGATGGCTACTTCCATTTTCTTTGGGTTTGCATTTACCTGGAATGTCCTTTCTCTTTCAGTCTATGTTTGTGCTTAGAAGTGAAATGAATTTTGTGTAAGCAGCATATAGGTGAGTGTTACTATTTAACCCATTTATTCCACTAAAATGTAAAATATTTACTGATAGATAGGGTTTTACTACTGCCATTTTGATATTGTTTTATACTTTTCACTGTAGTACCCTTGCTTTGTCTTTTTCTGTATTTCTATCTTCATTTGTGGATCAAGATTTTTATTTATTTATTTTTTTTGACAGGCAGAGTTAGACACAGAGAGAGACAGAGAGAAAGGTCTTCCTTCCGTTGGTTCACCCCCCCCAAATGGCTGCTATGGCCAGCATGCTGCGCCGATCTGAAGCCAGGAGCCAGATGCTTCCTCCTGGTCTCCCATGCAGGTGCAGGGCCCAAGCACTTGGACCATCCTCCACTGCCTTCCTGGGCCACAGCAGAGAGCTGGACTGGAAGAGGAGCAACCGGAACAGAATCTGGTGCCCCAACCGGAACTAAAACCCAGGTTGCTGGTGCCGCAGGTGGAGGATTAACCTAGTGAGCTGCGGTGCCGGCCCAATCAAGATTTACTCTATTGATGTTATTAGATTCTTTATTATTTTTTGTCAGTTAAAATTTCTTGATTTGTGGCTACCATGAGGTTTACAACTTTCTTTTGGCTACAACAAGCTATCTCAAATGAGAACAACTTAATGTAGACTAAAAACAGAAAGAAATGATATAAGAAATCCTATAAAGATGGCAGAATAGGGAAGGAACTTACCACTATGCACTAGAGAAAGGTAGTTTAAAAAATATAGAAAGTGCAATCTCAGGGAAGAGAAAAACTGCACAGGAATCTCCACACATATTAGAGGAACACTGTGGATCTACATGGAAGCTGTGGACATGCACAACTCAGAATCCCAGCAGCCGAGAAACTCAATATCAGCTTTGGGGAGAGAGGTAAGAACAGACTGCAGCAGCCAAGCTACAAGCCACTGGCAATAAAGCTGAGGAAAAAGCCTAGCATGAGTGTAGATTGGAACCCTGTTGGGGTCAGTGTACCTGCCAACCTAGAGGGAAAAAAGGGGGCAGGATTCTCTCTCCCAAAGCACCCAACACCAGCATCCTTTAACTAGCCAAGAGAAGGTGGGTGCCATTTTGGATATGTATAACAGCTGCACCCATTTATGTCTGCACACCCAGCAACTAGCCAAGAAGAGAAGCTTGAGTTTGGCTGAGAATGAACAGGGAGCCAGGTGTTCAACTGAGGGAGCCTTGTGTTCATGGACTGCAAAACACTGGGGCTGCATGGGAGGGTACAGAGTATGGCTGTGTCTTTGGGAAGTCACTGTGGGTGGCTCTACATGCTCAGGGCTCCCTAATTCCTTGGTGTGGGTCATTGCTGTGGGATACGTGCTCACACTGAGGACTGCAGAGATCCTTTGTGTGGTTCATGTGGCAGTATGAATGAATATTGCACCCACTGGGGCTAGCACTACAGGCATTGGTTTCTTGGAGGAGAGGAGGTGATTGTGAGACTAAACCAGCAGAGCTGATCAAAAGTCACCTCTAATAAAATAAAAGAGATTTCACACACACACCTTCCGTGTCACCTTGGGTGATGCTGTAACTCCCCTCACCCTTGAACACTGAACAGAGAGCTTCCTGGCCACAACCACCAAACACGTCTGGGTATTACTGAAAGAGCAGACACTCTACTAAGCTACAGAGGCATAGTCAGAAGATAAAAGCCATCACAGGGAAATAAAAAACTGAAAATATCTATACCAATAAATATTTGGTGTAGCAATTTAAGACACAAGAATAAGAAATACAACATCATGCCCCCAAAAGAACACCAAAACACTTCAACTCCAGAATATGAAAATGAAGAGACTGAAAAAATGCCAGAATTGGAATTGAAAAGAATGATAATAGGATTATTTAGAATTAATCAGAAAGGGGGCTGGTACTGTGGCATAGCAGGTAAAACTGCTGCCTGCAGTGCTGGCATCCCATATGTGTGCCAGTTCAAGTCCCAGATCCTCTGCTGCCAATACAGATCTCTACTATGGCCTAGGAAAGCATCAGATGGTGACCAAGATTCTCAAGCCTCTGCACTAACATGGGAGACCCAGAAGAAGCTCCTTGCTCCTGGCTTCAGATTGGTGCAGCTCTGACCATTGTGGTCATTTGGGGAGTGAACCAGGGGATGGAAGACCTTTCTCTCTGCCTCTGCCTCTCTGTAACTCTGCCTTTCAAACAAATACTCTTTTTTTTAAAGTAATCAGAAGAAAATTCATGAATTAAAGAGATCCATACATGACATGAATGAAAATGTTTCAATTGAAATTGAGATTTTAAAGAGAAATCAAAATGAAATACTGGAAATAAAGAGTTCAATAGATCAAATTACAAATGCAGTGGAAAGCCTTAACAGACTTGGTGAGGTAAAAGAAAGAATATCTGAATAAGAAGACAAAACTCTGGAAATTTTACAGTCAGACCAATAAAAAAAAAAAGGAAGAAGAAATTAGAAAACTAAAAAACAATATTGGATGTTTATGGGATACTATCAAGTGACCCAGTGTACAGGCCTTAAGAGTTCATGAAGGTGTGGAAAGAGAGATTGAATTAGAAAGTCATTTTGATGAAATAACTCCAGAGAACTTCCCTAATTTGGAGAAAGAGGCGTCCAAATACTGGAAGCCCATAAAACTCCTAATAGACATGACCAGAAACAATCGTCACCACGACATGTTGTAGTCAAACTTTCCACAGTAAAACATAAAGAAAAATTTCTAAAATGTGCATGAGAGAAAAGTGATAACTTTCAGAGGAACTCCAATTGACTCACAGCAGACTTCCCATCAGAAACCTTAAAGGCAAGGAGAGTATGATAAGATATGTTCCAAGTCTTAAGAGAAAAAAAAATGGGAACTCAGAATAATGTACCCCACAAAGCTCTCATTTATGAATGAAGGTGAAATAAAGACTTTCCACAAGAAACAGAAATTGAAAGAATTTATCATCACTTGTCTAGACTTACAAAAGATAAGGATGTGCTTAGGACAGAAACAGAGAAACATGGTAATCACTATGAAAGGCGGTAATGGCAGATAATCTTCCAGTAAAAGTAGAAGCAAAAGACAAAGTAAGCATTAGGAATTATTATGGAAAAATCACAGGGCCAAGTCATTACTTACCAATAAGCACCTTGAATGTAAATGGCCTCTAAGAATCAACCCTTAAGACATTCAGATCTGGCTAAAAAGCCAATGAGAGTTTCTCAGGCATGGAAAGCCAAGACAGTGTGGCAAAGAATGACTTAAATGAAAGATCTCTGGGAGTGAGATCCCAGTGGAAAAATGGGCCATCAAAGAAGGAGGTCCCTTTCTCTGAAGAGAGGAGAGAACTTCCACTTTGATTAGGGTCTTGTCTAAATAAGGTCAAAGTTTGTGCACTCAAGAGGCTTTCATAGCCTTGGAAGCTCATGACAAGTGCATTGGATGATTACTGACATCATAAATAAGAGTATTAATTGTTAAACGGACAACAGGAGTCACTGTGCATTTAAACCCATGTAGGATCTCTGTCCTTAATGTGTTATACTATGAGAATTAATGGTAAAACTAGTATTCAAACAGTACTTTATTCTTTGTGTGTCTGTGTGGGTGAAAACCAATGAAATCTTTACTTAGTATATATTAAGTTGATCTTCTGTGCATAAAGATAGTCAAAAATGAATCTTACTGAAGAATGGGATGGGAGAGGGAGCAGGAGATGGGATAGTTTGCGGGTGGGTGGGTGGTTATGGAGGGGGAAAAACCACTATAAACCAAAAGTTGAATTTTTGAAATTTATATTTATTAAATAAAAGTTTTCTTTAAAAAAAGAATTTAATTTGCCTCAGCTCTTCAGTTAAAAGATAGACTGGATTAACGTATTCAAAAATAAGACTCACCTAATTGCTGCCTACAAGAAACACATTTCACCAACAAAGATACATACAGACTGAAAGTGAAAGGATGGAAAACATATTCTAAGTTAACAGAAACCAAAAAAGGGCTGATGTAGCCATCCTAGTATCAGACAAAATAGACTTTAACACAAAAACATTAAAAGAGGTGAAGAAAGGCACTATGTAATGATTACGGGATTAATTCAACAGGAATATGTGACTATAATAAATGTATATGCACCTAATTACAGGGTACCTGTCTAGTTGAAAGAAATGTTAATGGAGCTAAATACAATAGTATACAATACAATAGTAATGTGGGACTCCAATACCCCACTTTCAGCAATGGACAGATCAACCAGACAAAAAATCAGCAAGGGAACAATAGAGTGAATTGACACTATAGAACAATGGGTAGGCCTAATGGATAACTACAACGAATGGATATTAGTTATCCAAATGGATAACTACAGAACTTTTCATCCTACAGTTACATAATACAATTCTTCTTCTTACCAGTGCATGGAACTTTTTATAGGGTGGAACACATACTAGGCCATAAAGCGAGTCTCAGCAAATTGAAAAAAAAAGTTAGAAATCATCCCATGCATCTTCTCTAGAAATCAACAACTCAAGAATCTCTAGAACATATGTAAATACATGGAGACTGAACAGTATGCTCCTGAATGAACAGTGAGCCATAGAAGAAATAAAAATAGAAGTCAAAATATTTCTGGAAACAAATGAAGATGACAGTACCTCATACCAAAACCTATGGGATATAGCAAAAGTAGTGTTAAGAGAAAAATTCATAGTAATCAGTGCCAACATTAAGAAACAGGAAAGATACCAAATAAATAATCCATCAGTGTATCTTAAGGACCTTTCTAGAACATAAACAATAAGCCAAACCCCAAACTAGCAGGAGAAAAGAAATTATTAAAATTATAGAAATTCCTGCAGTGTGGCACACCACATACAGACATCACCTGTACTTCTGGCATCCCATTTGGGCACTGGTTCAAGTCCCAGCTGCTCCACTTCTGATCCAGGTTTCTGCTATGGCCTGGGAAAATGATAGAAGATGGCCCAAGTCCTTGGGCTCTTGGACTCACG